CCTTGCTCTGCACTGGTGCCCACCCATCACATAGACCTCTTCTGCTGACCTTCTAAGTTGTCTTAGGCTAGAAAAGTGTCTCACTCTGACCCTTTGTTGGCCCTGCTACTCCAAAAATTTGATTTGAGGAGTTATTTTAAAGACGTTTGAAGGGAAATGTTAGGAGGGTTCAGCTGGTTTGCTGCCTCTGCTCCGCCATCTTGGCAACACTATTCCATTTTCAAGGAAAACATGGATGATTGATATTCTAAAAGCTGAATCTGCATCAGTACTGAAGATACCATCAAATGCAAGCATCTTCTATGAACCATTATTTATATGCTTTCCTTGGCTACCAATGGAAATTCTAGAACAAAAATCCAAAACAAACATAACATAGTCAACATACCATTATCCATGTAGACAAGTATTTATATAGGATTATTTTTTGCGCAAATGTGATTTTATAGATGTGAAGAGCTGCTACTGAGGAAACTCCCTCTACAAGTATAGATATGTAACTTGAGTGTTGAAAGGGAAGGGAGGCACCAGAAAGGTTACATGACCCATTTAGGGTCATACAGCCAACTTGTGTCACAAGTGAGAGTTAAACCCAAGTCTTCCTGACCCTAAGGCCTGTTCTTGATCCATTATCCCATTGCCTTTTTTTTTCCTTATGGGAATAAAATAGGCAAATCTATAGTTAATCCAAAGACTCTTTTCAAACTAATAGTTATAACTTTTCTCTTCCATCAACGTTTTTAACCAAAGCTAACAAGTGACATGGACCGGTGCAGTGTTGGGAGTAGCAAACTGGCCTTAGAGTCCAAAAGTCAGGGGTTAAAATCCTCCCTTTAACACTTAATACCTGCATGACCACAGGCAAATCACTTAATCTCTGAGCCTTAATTTCTCATCTATAAAATGGGGATAATAGTATCTTTAGTTCCTACTTCTCAGGGTTGTTGTGAGGCTCCAGTGAGATTTGCACGATGCAAATTTTAAGGTACTATAAGAATGTCAGTAATTTTCATTCTCTCTCTTTCTCTCTCTCTCTCTCTCTCTCTCTCTCTCTCTCTCCTCCCTCTCTCTCTTTCTGTCTCCTTCAATGTACAATTGCCCAACAGCAATACAGAACTAGGGAAAGAGAATGGTATATGGAAATTTGGTACTAAAAGGGAAAAAGCTTCAGAGGCACATAAAAATTTAGGAGGAGTAGACTGTTCCTTCTTTCTCCTTTCCCCACACTGTACTAGTTTTAATTTGTTGCTAAACCAATGATACTTGCATTGATATTGATTGACAGGTTAACCAGCATAGGAAAGCTAGCATATGAGGGATATGAACTCAGAGCACACTTTTTAAGTATATGAAGGTACAAGGTCTAAAGACAGTAAAACAATTGCAGATACTCCTGAAATCTCAGACTGATACTTAAAATATCTTTTGCTACCACATAAGAAATGACTATCAATGGAAATTCTAGAATGTTTGACAATGGGATTGAGGGGTTGACAGCTTATAGCTGGAGACAATGCTTCCTCAAATGGTAAGCAATGTGATTATTTATTCTAACCCTGCAAGAGCAAAAAAGATCTGGGCAACTGGATAGTCTGGTTCAGAATAACAAAGAGTTCGTTCTTTCAAATCTCAGCTCAGGCATAACCTTCTGCATTAGACCTTTTCTTATTTCCCCACATGATAGTGTTTCTTCCTTCCCTTAAAAATTGTGTTGTATTTACTTTGCATGAGGGGCAGCCACGGCATCGGGAATAAAGATCCAACCTTGGAACCAGGAAACCTGAGTTAAAATTCTGCATTTGGAATATAATCATTATATAACTCTAGGCAAGTCACTTAACCTATCGGCCCTCTAGGCAAACTCTGTATGACTGTAAATTATATAATGAGATCTACTTTTTTAAAGAGGCCATTCTTTGCCTCAATCACTGAAAGGGTACTGCCTCAGTCAAACTGAGACCTGTTAAAGACCTTAGCTTGAAAAGGCCAAGGTCCCCCACTGCATCCTGAACCATTTCTAGTTGTCCTGATCCATAGCTGGCCACTGGCCTCAGATGACTCTGGAGGAGAAAGTGAGGTTGGTGACTTTTCCCAGCCCTCCCTCACTTAAATCCAATTCACTTGCACGTCATGGCATGACCTCCCTGACATCATGGTCCTCTTCGAGAACAAAAGACAAACAGCAGCAGCAGCAACTTTGTATATACTTAAGTATATATTGTTTCCCTCAATACAGCATCAGCTCTTTGGAGGCAAGGATTGTTTCATTTTTGACTTTGTATGTCTAGTGCCTAGAACAATGTCTGGAATATAGTAGGCACTTAATACTTTTTGATTAACTGAGTTTAGGCAAAGAAATTGTTATAGACACAGTATTGCATAGTGAATAGAAGGTCAATTTTAGGTGTCAAGACAGGTGTCAAGAACACCGAGGTTGAAGTCTTCTGACACTTATTGTGTGACTATGGCCACTTAAATTCTCAGGGGCTTACTAAACTCTATAAGACTGTCACTTACAGAATTGCCCCATTTCTACTCTGGGAGTTCCCTATACAGACAAAATAAAAGATCTAAACTTAAAAAAAAAAAGACGGGAGGAAGAGTTAAGACTAAATCTTTCATGTCCATTTAATATAGATTGCTACCTAGGATCACGCTTTAGGCCTTAACTACTATTAATTAGTACTCAATTATAATAGTGAAATTCCCAATAGTAGAACCAAATTTGCTATAGTAAGCAGCTAATTATACTAGAACCTGAAGAGGGGTAAGAAAGGAGAGGAAGCTACCTGATCCCTTCTCTTTCTCCATGGCAGTTACACATATACTTCCCACATGCAAGGAAGTACCAGTTCTGGGCAACTGATATTAACTTCTCAACCAATTTCTACTTTACCCCTTTCAGGGACCAATGTAACACACACACACACACACACACACACACACACACAATTTTTAAGGCTGCATTAATTATGATAAAAAAATACTGGCACTTTCAAAAGAATCACAATTAAAATGCAAAGGTGTTTTTGATGACAGTGACTGCAGAAAAGCAACAAATGCTACAGTGATGACCTTATAAGAAGGCACACAGGAAAGAACCAATTTCTAGCCCACCTTTTAAATAGTAACTCTCCCATTTGTTCTTTGATGCTTGAAATTGTGCTGTTAGAAATGAATTCCCTTAGCTTAACATGTATACCTTGGTGCAGGGGTTCTTAATTTTTTTGTGTCATTGTACCTCTTTGGCATCTGGAGAAGCCTACAGAAGCCTTTCTCAGAATAAAGTTTTAAAATGCATATAATAAAACACATAGGATGACAAAGGAGACTAATTATATTGAAATAGTTATAATTTTTTTAAGTCTACAGGCCCCAGGTTAAAAACCCCTGTCTTAGTATGAATAAGTTTATCAGAACTTTTCCTAAGAGCAGATATTAATAGAAGAAAGGAGGTTGAGAGCACTAAGTTGACGTTAGGACCACTGAAGGATAAGAACAGAAGATAAACAGGGGGACACAATGGAGAATGCTAGATTTGTAGTCAGAGGACTTGGCTTCATATTCCCAATTCTGCCACTTACTACCTTTGTGACCTTTGTCAAGTCACTTATGATTTCTGGGCCTCAGTTTCCTTTTACATACAAAATTAGGTGGTTGGACTTTATGATCTCTAAAGTCTGTTCTGGTCCTAAATCTACTATTCTATGATGCACAAAGGTGATATTGACAGCATATTTTTGGAAACAAAGTTTGTCTAATTCACAATTTTGCCTAGGACTGGCATAATATTCACACACATATTTATGCATATACACACAGACATATATACACATCTTTCCCATCCCTCAGCATTATCTAGCTGGGAATTCCCTGTTGGGCGAGGGGGACAGATCAACAAGGTGGCAAAGAAATCCATGAATATTCTCCATGGAAAACCCTCAGCAGCTTTCAGTATCCTAGAGACGGAAGAGGGTGGGAGTTGGCAGCAGGAAGGCCCTACCTGACCAAAACTTCCGGCAGAGGGGCTTTCCAGAGAAAATAAATGGTTCCAAGAAAGCCTTGCTCTAAGACATCCGTAAATACTCATCAGATCCCAGAGCAAATTTGATGGGGAGATGCAGATTCTGCAAGAGGAGTGACAGCAAACAGTGTCAGCTCGGGTAAAGAGGCGAGCTGTAGAGAAGGGCCATGAGGTTGAAAAGCAGACAAAGGACCCCAAGCTCTGACCACCACAGAAGCCCGAAGGGAACATGTCCCGGAGCAAAACCTGCTTAACTTTTCCTCCTACCTCTTCCCAGGCTCTCCTTTCCTCCTTTCCTCTACTTCAGCAATCAAGGTCTCTTAGGCTCTACTAACACCTGCTGTCTCTTGCCTGCGCGCTAGAAGCAGGGAAACTTTGTAAAACTCTGCTCCAATAGAGAGTCTGGAAATGGCGTGGACCAGAGAGGCTGGGATGGACATTGCAGACTAGTGAGCAAAGGAGATTCGGGGTGCGTGCTTCTGTCTGGGTATTCACACAAAGAACTCCGGCTCACGAGAGGGTGTTGAGCAGAAAGGAATCCGCCTCTGCCATCACCTTTGCCCTAGCCTTCCCTTCCTTAGACCTTGATCTTAACCTCTGTCGAAAATCTGAGCCTCAACACGGTGGAAGCATCTCCGTCCTTGCCCAGGTACCCTAGCTACCCGCGGCTAGGCACAGCGATGTGACAGCAGAACAGCGACAAACTCCCTGCCCTTAGGGCCATGCCAATGGCATGTAACAAATGGCAAAGTTTCGTGCCTGGTTCGGCGCCAGAGCCTCTGCGGACACTGACCAGATACCCCACCCGTGGCCCTCCAACTGTCCCCAGCCCCAGTGCTCCTGGGACGTGGCACCCGGGCTCCTGCAAAGACCTGGAGCATCGGGGAATAGGGAAGCGCGGACGAGTGACCTCCTCGCTGGGGGCGAGAAAAAGAAAAGGAAGAAAGAAAAGAAAAGGGAGCTTTGGGCTCCTTACCGCTAGAGCCGGCAGAGCTGGTCCCCCGAGCGCCCCCTGGCCCTTCCCCGCCCCGCCACGTCGGCAGGGCCTGGGAGAAGCAGGCAGGACCCGGGGGGCGGGGCAGGGGCGGGGCCCTGAACTGTCTGGGTCTGGATGGGGCAGCGGGCCCCGCCTCCCAGTAGCCTCAGCCTTAAATGAAAACCTGGCCCCGCCTGCCTAGGGAAGCTCTAATAAGTGGGGGGGTAAAAGAACTGGAAGGCTACTCAAAGGCCATCTGCTTCAAGCACTCCCCAAGCCCTTTGGGGCAAACCTTCCGCGGCTGTCCGACCGCCCTAAAGCCCTAATACTTTCGTTTCAGTTCCTGCGACTCCTGGTGCGGTTTGTTAGAACCCTGGAGTGTGGGACGGAACGACTCTTCCTCTCGCCCCCCCCCTCCCCACCCCCAACAAAGGAATGAAACCCCTTGAAGAATCAGTTCAGGCGGAAGAATTTTTTTTTTTAAGGGGGAGTCATTCCTAGGCCAAAGAGTGAGAGCCGGAAAGGAGCGGAGAGAACTTTAAGGCCATTTTCTAGATAAGGAAATTAAGGCCCAGGGAGGTTAATTTCAATGAGCTCAAACCAGCTGACTAATGGTAGAATCCTAGGACTGGAACCCAACCCTCCTGCGTTCCCAGCTCAGTGTTCTTTCTACTATATCATGCCCCAGCTGGAAAATTTGCCTACTGAGCTCTGTCACTCTTAGTTATCCTTTACTTGGACTTTTTCTCTGGGTTTGCTTCTTCCTTTCCTTGTGTAAAAAACACTAATAATTTTTAAATGCCCAGCTAGATAGAGTACGGAAAAATACTGCAGTCAATTTCACTCGAGGTTGGGAAATACCCCTACTTTTTTGTTATGCCTAATTTTGGTTGGGGACTATCCCTCTACAGCAGGAAAATGCCGCATTTTAGTCTCTGGAATTAAATCTTAGCAAACAAAAGTGAAATTGTACAACCTCGTTACTACTGCAGAAAAGTAATAAGGATAACGTTTTTTGTTAAATTCTGCTTATACTTAGAGGAAAGTTCTTCAATCTGGCCCAGATATAGAGGTATAAACAAGTCGCCAGAGGGTGACGTTTTAAAGCAATGGATTGTTTTTGAGAGAATATAAACTCCTTGAGGGCGTGGAGTGTTTAGTTTTTGTCTTTGTGATCAGAGCGCCTAGTACGATTTAAGTGTTTGATAAACGCTTTCTGAATTTAATTGATTTTGGTATGTGACATCTCGCAGGTTCGGTATTTTAGTCACACCTGTTGTCTACCAAAAAGGTAAGAGCTATATTCGTTATTTGTTCAGGGTGGTCCCATGGGTACTACAAGAGCATTACCACAAATGATTTTTCTTTTGGTTGAGGATTTAAAATCCTCTCATTTATTGTCAACTGTAAATTAGTTCCTTTTAATTAGAAAGGGAGTTGGAGTAAGAATAACCCCAGAATGAAAAACAAACAACTTGAGCTTTGCCTGGGTTAACTCTCCCTACCTATTGATTACTGAATCTCTGAGGTTCTGGATCAGTAGTTTCTAGACTGCACTCCTGAAAGAACCAACTGGTGATGGGATTTGAACTAATTCCCCCCTGAGGTATGGTGTTTCTCCCCTTTCCACAATGTACACAGCCTCAGATTGTATATTTTGCTATTTTCACCCAAACCTTGATTCTATCCTTCTAGCATCCAATTATATTATCAGAGGAAAACAATCTGTTTGGGAAAATATTAAAGAATAAAAGTCACCAAAACAAACTTTTGTGTCTGTGTCCATAGTTTTACTTTCTTATGCCTTTAGATGGCAAAATCTCATTTAATTCAGAATTACACTATTTTATCAAAATTTTCTATTGTTTATTCTTGGTGCCTACGATTTACATGTTGATCTATTCCTTTAGAGGTGTTTTAGTTTGTAGTGAGTTTCTTACATATACAGAAATATTCCTTCTGTAGGACTAACTTTTATTTTTCTTTCTAAGAAAAGTCCAGTGTCCCAAGAAATCTCAAAAAGTTAAAATAGATACCACTTTCTCAAATGGGTTTACTTTGCCCTGCAGATGCTAGCCTCTCTTAAGTTAGTCCTGATATGCTGTGAGAGCGGCTAAAAAGACCAAACTGTGTTTCTTGCTGCCATCTGCAGAGAATTGAGAAACCTCTTACATTTTTGTGAGTAATAATGAATGAGAGGAAGAAGCTGGGTCTTGGTCCTTCTAATAAATGCATGAGTGATGAAGCCCAGCTGCAGGATATTATGTGTGTTTTTTCATTAGTGACCTTAGGCAAATCACTTAAAATTTTGTGTCTCTATAAAACTGAGAAAATACTGATTAGTGAGATGATATTTTATTCAATAATCAAAGTCCTATGTGCAGTATGGAATGCTTACAGTATTTTGTTTAATTGACTGTTCAGGCAAACTAGACATCTTTTGATTTTGACCTTTGTTCATTTCAAATTCAACAAACATTTTTAATGACCTACTGTGTGCAGAGGCTCTGCTAAATAAGATGTGGTTCCTATAACTTAAGGGAGAGAAGATGCATGTAATTTACTATAATGCAAAATTATAGGTGGTACAGAATGCCAGGTGAGATCATACGGAGAAAAGGTTCCTACCAACTTGGGCAATCATAGAAGGCTTCATGGAGGAGGTACCATTTGACTCAGGCTTGAAGGGGTGGGGAGGGCTTCAAAAGGCAGAAAATGATTGGGTACTCAAGATGTAGGGAATAATGTGAGCAAAGGCTTGGGGGATGGGAAAGCATTGAGCATTTAGTGGAGCTAAAGTCTAATTTGTCTGAAACAAAGTATATGGAGGGAAAGAGTATGAACTAAGACTGGAAAGTTGAGGTGCTGCAAGATTGTGGAGGACCTTAAACATCAATCTAAAGAGTCTAATGTTTATTTAGAAGGCAATCTGGAGCCAATCAAGGGTTTCCAGAAGAATAACATGATCAGATCTTTGAATGAGAAAGAAATGTGATAGGTAAAAAATAAAAATCTTTTCAGAGTATGGTGGTACTGAAAAAAACTGGTCCTTTCTTGGATGATTCAGGCTTTTGCAATGCCTCCAGGCCATCATTCTGAACTGGTTGTATAGTACTGTAAATCTAAGTGCAGAAGGGATAGGAAATTAGGATAAATATGCACAGATCTTTGGAGAAATCCCGCAAGATACTTTAAAAACAAAACAAAACAAAATAAAACACAATCTTGTTTTGTTGTCATGTCTGTCTCCAAAAATGGGGCACAGGAAAAAAAATTCTAGTTAATTAAGGGTTCTAGTAAATCAAAAATTTGCTTCAATACTAAATGCAGCTATAATACATCAAGGGAAGGCCAATTCCTTACTCCAGAACTCTCGGGCTGCCCAATATAAGGACAAGTTAAAATCCATTCTCTAACCCTTTTTAGATAAATGTTGCCCTAAAAATATTTGTCTTTGAGAGGTTGTAATTCTCCCCCAACACTGGGTCAAATATAATAATTTACTTTCTGAGAAGAAATTTAAAATATGATCATTTAAAGTCTGCTTTTGTTTAGTGGGAAAAAAGAGATGATCTTTTTTTTTTTGCCTGACACAAAAAGTTTCTACCTGGATTATCCACTTTAATATTTTATAAGCTCCATAAGATAACATTTTCAGAGCTAGAAGTAACCCTACAGGTTATTTAGTACATTGGTATCAAACACAAATAGAAACAGCTACATATTGACTAACAAAACCACAAATTCACATTATGTTGTATTGTATTTTAATCTATTTTGTTAAACATTTCCCAATTACACTTTAATCTGGTTCCTACTCAGCTACCAGTTTGACACTTTTAACCGCCTAACTTCTTATGTTGCAGATGAAAGTACTGAGGCCTGGAGAAGTGATATATTGCTCACAGCTAGTAAGGGCCAAAACTGTGATTCAGTTTTAGGTCTCCTGACTCTAAAGCCAGCTTCTTTCTCTAATAATAATATCTTTCAGTTAAAGAAATTGGCTTATCACATTCTGTAGCCCATTCCTTGGTTACATATTCTGAACCACTGATTGTGCAGTAAGTACCTGAAATTTCAGCTGAAAGTGGTAGATATGAGGGGTATACTGGAGCTAGCTCAAGCCAACTAGAGAAAGCTGATTGTTAAATTTTCAATGAGAGTATTTCCACCTTGAAAATTGACAAACACTACAAATCAGGGTTTGATTTATTAATTTACTGACTGTTAAGACTTAAGAAAATGATGAGAATATAAATAATGAAAATTAAATGTAAAAGTGTACATTTCCTTCTCCCTTCCCTTTCCCCTCCAGATCCAGTTGGTAAACATTTACCACCATACCCCTGGCAAATATCTCTTTACTCTCCTTTTCAGTTCCTCAGAGTAGCAGATTACATTTTCCTATTAGATCTGGGAAGTCACAAACAGTTCATAAGACTCCTTTTCTTATTCTTTCCTATATGCTTCAACTTACTAGTTGAAAATTCAAAGTTTTAGAGAAAAATTGTACCAACTATGCAGAAAGATATAACAATGCATTTTCCCTAATTAATCCATTGGGATCCCTGAAACAAGCACATTATTATTATATTCTTGCAGCAAACAGGATATTTAAATGACATCTGCTACCTCAAAAATATTAGTCCTGAGCAGAAGCACGACCAGCAATTCTTGTGTCATGGGAAAGCATCACACAACAAGTTTAGAAGCCATACAAATTCAGTTTGGCTAAGATCATGGTGAGAGACCTTGGACCTTAGAACACAAGGTTTCACGTGGGAAGGTAGACCCTGGACATCATCTCAGGTTGGGGAAACAGGGACCGTTGCTCATCTATTGAGGGAAAGAGCAGGGTGAAAACAGACCTGGGAGAAAGTCAAGTAGAATGTGACCCTGGAATGAATTATCCTTGCTAACTAGGTGCTAAATTCTTGTTTCTACTTGTTAAAAGAACTCAAGTGTTACAAGTGTCCAATACATTTTAGCACCCTGGGGGAAAGATCTGATTGCCCTCCCCTAGTTTTATGCCTATACTATTGCATAAGGTGCATATATTGCTTATAGATGAATGTAGGGAAAATTCATT